TCCTTGTACGTGAGTCCTCCACCAAAGCTATGCTCGCTATTCTTCCCGCCCGCCGTGACGTCGCCCTTGGCCACGCCGGTCCCAAAGGCACAAGTGCCCATGTCAAGCGGCTCGGCTGGTCCCGAAGGTGAGATGTCAAAGTCGAATATATCCATTGGCAGCCCCAGTGTCGTGCATGCGTTGGGTATGTCCACTATACCCGCCACATGGCCCTGGATGGGTGCACTCGACATCAGCAGGTAAGTCTGATAGTCATTATACCCGAACCGACGGAGATACTCGATGCAGCCTATACCGTGGTTAGCCCACTCACCGCTCCCCTGCATCTCATCACGTCTCCGTCGTGCTGGGATGCGTAACCACGGAGTAGTTTGTACAATACTTACGGAGACTAGCTTGTCGGTATGCTACTGCCACGTCCACTGTCACCACGACAGTTAGTTTCTATGTAGTAATAATGATTCTGGACTTACTATAGTGCTGTTTGCCATGTTCATCAACAGAAAACCCTTCAAAGTAAATATGCCGGCCCGGCCCGAATTGCGGCTCGACGGGCCCGGGTATGTAGATGGGCGACTTAAGCCCCAGATCGGCCATGCCGTTCTTGATGACTTTAAAATTGACGGTAATAACACCCGCCATTTCGATGGCGCCGCAGAATGAAATCTCCCCATCGCCCTCTATCGCCCATCCGTGTGAGAATCTGATGCTACAACTACCGGGAGCCTGAGCTGGAGGACCGCGGAGGTGACTTACGAGAGAAGTGCAAGTCGCCCACGCTGAACTTGGCCCCAGGCACGTGAACAGGGAGATAGACTCGGCTTCCGCGGCTGAGATTCTTGATATCGCAATTGCCTCCGTGCTCAGGCCGTCCAGGGACTTGTGCAGCATGAAACAATTAATACTGGTCGGAAAGTGAAGACATTGGCAGTTTCCAAGCCTACGCCAAGGTGCTAGGAAATGATATGACCAGAGCAATGCATACTCAAGAGCCAAGAAACCAATAAATCAAAAGAGGAATGGAGGAAAAGACGAGGCAGGGCAGAACTCACTGGTCCGCCCCCCCTCCCGCCCAATCTTCTCCTTAAGGCTCGCCTCCGCCGCTCCGGCATGGGCATTCTTAGGCTCCGGTGGTAGCGCAACCTGTCTCTCAAGTTTATTCGCCGCAATAAGGCCCGCCTCCCTCTGATTCCAGGTGTCGAGGACTTCGGCGGAGGGCGCGCAACCGAGGATACCAGGGTGGATGAGACCGGAGAATTTGACGTGGGGGATATGTCTCGAAGTGCAGAAGATGCCTTCGAAGTCCCAGATTGCTTTCGCCGCAGAAGGGTAAAGCTCATCTAGGAAGCCGCCGCCATTAGACTTGTGGAAAACGCCGGTGAAGCCCCATGGTTGCTCTTCGAAAGGCTAAATGCGCTTAGTCAGTGCGTAAGAACTTGGTGATCATGAACAGATACAGCACCCCTATAGCTACCCGTGCCCACACATATCTGCTCTCTAGATACTATATATAATTTCCCTTTCCACGGGCCAAGATGTGTCATCTAGGATGGCATGGTGGCATATATTGGAATTTACCATGAGTAAGAAGTATAATGCTCCCACCTCTCTCTCTTACCCTCTGTCTTGTTCATAAGAAAACCAATATAAAAAGCGAGAAAAGGAATCAATCAAACGAACCTGGACATCCATAATCTCCACAAGCAAAACATCACCAGGTTGCGCCCCCTCGACCTCAAACGGACCAGTCAGGTAATGCACGCGCGTAAGGTCGATATTCTGGACATCATCCGCGCTATCGTTGTTGCTGATCTGGCCACCAGTCCTAAAGGGCAAGCAAAGACCATAGATGATAAGCAAAACAACCGAGCACAAACGCACAACGGGACTCCTCACCAATCTAGACACTCAATCTTGACGGTCTCTCCATCCTGGATCTTGCCCGCAAAGGGAACTACACAGGTCCTTTTAGGAACACGGCAGCACGACATACATGGACAATAACGTACTATCTGGATGCCATCGATTCTAAGACGCCACCAATCAGCTCAGAAACGCCACAGATAGTGAGCAAGCGACAGAGCACATACGTGTAAGTTGGGCTGCTCCGAGGCAGGCGTATCAAGGCGAACTTTGCCGACCGTCCGAATAGCAGATTTTCCCATGGTTCAGGTTACGTAGAGCTGTATCGATACAATAACAGGAAGTATCCGAAGCAACGACCGCAGGCGGGGAGGGGGGGCGGTCTTCTATGTGTGTTGCCTTATGTAACAATATACCAATAACCTAGGCGAATTCCTACCTACCTACTTATAATAATTGGGCACTTTCGTATCTGGGGCCCCTCAGCTTCGTTGTCGGTAATCTAGCCGTTGCTGTTATGTATGGTGGAAGATAACGAACATAGAGGAGCATAAGTCGGCGCGCCAGCGAGCGATCCGGGGCTACTTGCCGAGGCTTGGTATGTTTCCCCTCATTATGTCTTATCGACCTTCCAGCTACAGATATCGACGTCATGGAGTTGTAGATACGTGCGTGCTTTGCGTGTGATTGGAGTCTGGCGTTTGATGGTGACGCCAGATTCAAGCACTCGGTCCCTATTAATAGATTGTTATCTGCGCATCCCGTTGGACACCCATATACCCCTGTACACTTCTTGATAAGATAGGTAAGTCTTGTTTTAATGCAGCCAGTTTACGGAGGACAGAATCGTCACCTCGACTGGTAAGCAACCACATCAACGACAATCTTCACGAGACATGGATTGTGATGTATTTGAAACCCTGTTTATTCTCTAAAGACAGATTTGGCATCAAGGAGTACATAATGGTTTCAATCAGTAAGACTAGAAGTTACTGCAGAAAGCAAAATACATACCTACCAAAGTCGAATAGCTAGCTAAGCGAAATCGGATCTTAAAGGTCCTTTCGTCTAGCTTCATTGTTGAAACGCCCATTTCGCCTGGTGTCTAAGTTGGCAAGTGAGAGATTGAGGAATTCGTGCTTATTTTTCCAGACTTGCTGACCAGCAAGAAACTGATCCTGTTCCTGCGCAGTCGCCCCGGGCGGAGGCGGGGGGTCTGTGATTTTGGTGATCAAGTACGCCGTCGAGGCCTCCGCAATGCCATATATCAGCACGCCAAAAAAGGGGACGCGCAGTAGGATGTAAAAGCCAACACCAAAGCCGAAGAGCAATCCTTCCCGACTACGGAACCAGTTTCTTTTCTGTTCCCTGTCCATGGGAATGCGCGCGAAATAAGGCTCCAGCAATTCGCGCATGAGGCTTCGAGAGGCGAAGTAAGTCTGTAGAAAGATGACAAGGTAGCGCTTCGGAAGAAAGATGCCAACTCCGAAGATGGCAGCTGCAGGGCCCAGGCCCACTGCCTTATTGAATGTGTAGAAGCTGGCCAGGGGCAGGACTAGATTGCCGACGTAGGGGACACAGGACAGGACGTAGACGGCCAAAGAGATGCCGGCTTTGCGGGCGAATCGCCAGATGAACATCTCGGCTCCCTTTCTTGACTTTTTCGAATGCTTGCTCTCGTCCTTTTTGTGCTTGTACTGCTTGAGATTCGGATAGTACATGTCGCGTAGGTCATCAGGATTTTCATGTTTATGCTTGGATACATAGGTAAAATCCACCCAACGCAAGGAATCCATGAACCTGTGGGCGTCATTTTATTAGAGAATAACTACCTACCTAGACATCTGATGGATTCAGGGTTTGGGATGTTTTACATACATGTCATCCAAGGTCGGAGTCACGTATCTCATCAAAGTCATGAGAAACAAGGGGATTTGAAGGACGTGGTTGGCAATGAGATCGAGCCCGTTGACAAGATGGTCGCCCCAGCTTGTTCGATCGAGATCAAATATAAATGATGATATGTATAGGGAGAACCTGATACCCAGGACCTGAGACAGTATGAGCATTGAGAAGTCAATGGAAGAAGGTGGAAGAGATATGGCGCACGGGAACAGCCAGAGCTAGCCGAATGGCAATGCCAGCTCCAACAGCAATGATGGCCTGCTTGTAATGGGCATTGTTGAATATGGCAGGGTTTTGTAAAGCCCTATGAGCTATAGAGGAGTTAACTACTGGCTCATCATAGGTCTTTACACTGAGTTGTTGCTAAAGTGGATGAACAGACGGGGGACTCTCCGGGAGGGACGTACCACCGACTAATGTAAGTTGGGCCCCTCGGAGAACAGCATTTATATCGAAGTGGGAAAGATCAAAAGCCTCCTTCAATTTATCTTTATCGAGCTTGAGGTTGTTTACTGCCATCGTGAATTCATGTCCCGCTCCTGGCACGGCAGAAAGATGGAGATAGCAGGTGAAGCGAGAATCAATGGTTCATTACAAGTAGGCAAGCAAGCACATGTAGGTAGTATAATAATAGCTTTATAGAGTTACCTAGAAGAGTGAAGGAACGAGATGTCTCAATAGAGAATAGAATGTGTTGAGATGACATTCAATGAGCGACGTATGAAGTTGGTTATTATTACCAGGAGCACCACGTACGTACCTGGTACGGAAGTACCTACGAGGTACGGAATAAATAAAGTACGGATTACGGAATACATACGGGACACATGCGCTTATCGATTGTACCAACGGGGTAAGATGAGGGGTTCGGATTTAGTGGGGCGGAGGGGGGGGTGTCCTTACGCACGTACGAAGTTGATTGTGCACGGGAAGGTACAGCACACTACCTACAACACGGTTGCCGAGTATCTACCTAACGGAATAATGTACCGTAATCCGTAGTGCAGTGTAATTTACGCTTAGGAAGGCACATGTCAGCGTCAATGTGACAGGTGCGCTTGAAAAGTCAAAGCAGTAGGTAATTACTAAGCACGTACGGATCTACCTGTAGGTATAAGGAGGCGTACGATGACCGTACATAATGTGACAGGTGTCTGAATAGAGAAAAAATTTGAAAAGAAGGAGGAGAGAGGAGAAAAAAATAAAAGAATAAGAAGAAAAAAAACTCTTCTCGACCAGGGCCTGATTCGAACAGACGCTCCCGAAGGAAGTAGATCACTTAGAGACTTCTACAGAATCGTAGAGGTTCTAGTCTACCGCGTTAACCACTCCGCCACCTGGCCTTATGAATATCATGTCGCCGGTGTATGTGCACTACATGTTTGGTAATCACAATCCAGGAAAGATATGGAATAGTGGGCGGTCAGTTAAGCGCAGATCGCTCTCAGCCGGGACTCCCATGATCCCATCAAACGTGCCTAACGCTAGATGCATAAGGTAGGTACCTAGGTACCTGGTCAGACATGCACCTAAGCAGGTACTTATGTACTTACGGGATATAGTACCTGTACGGATACACTAAGTATCTACCAGATAGTACCTACCTAGGTACACTACGGAATACCCTAGGTACCTATCTTCTTAGGTAGCGTGTGCGTGCATCATGTATAGAAATATGGACTGTCCATAGTAAAGGTACCTGGTGCCTGACCCTGTAGTGTACCTACCTAGGTACCTAATGTACCTAAGGCACCAAGAGGTACCTAACGGATCCCCCTACCTACGTCAGGGCTCACCGTCATTGACAAGGCCTACCGACATTCAAAAGCGACCTACCTTTACAACAAACCGGCACACCCACCGCTGTACCTGCATTCATGCTACCTACCTAAATTACTACTACCTACCTCTCTTCTTTTGTCACAAAAGAATAATCGATGGATCTTCCCGTCATCATTGAAATGACCCCTAAGGCTTAGGTGTCATAGCTATATAACAGACCAGACAGACTGTGTTCACTGGCTGGTCTGTTGCTAGACAGAGCATCACTCGGCTCCCAACTCACTTTTCTCAGCTATTCGTCATGGTATTCATAGGCGCATAGGTTGCGCATTCGCATATATTACCTACCTTCCTCTCTCCGTCTTATATATGTCTTCTCAATCATGGATTTTCCTGGATTTGTCTCTCATGGACCCGATGTCCCACGGCCTCGTCGGGTTTCGACCGCTTCTGATACCCTCTCGACTTCTTCCCAGCTGTCCAAGTCGTCGTCTCCCGCTTCCTCTCCGCTGGCCGTCCGGCCTAAATCTGAAGATCTTGTCGAAACTCTATACAATCATCCCTTTGTTAAAATCATAGCCTTCACCTCAAGCCGATATGGTTCCTCCACCCTGTTACCCTCCTCCTCAGATACCGACGCCCCGCCCGGTTCTTTGCCGCCTTCCTCCCGTATGGAGAGGACTATTGCCGTTGGTAAGTGTCGCTTGTCCCGATGCCCAACATGGCTAGCCATCTTCGTCTTTAACGACTGCCCCAAGGTGCCTTTCGAATCTATCGTGCTCCAGGATCTGTTGCTTTCCTAAGTTGCGGTTCAGCTCTACAACCTATTTTCCCTAAAAGCCAGTGCTGGTGTATCAATCAGGACAACAGCCGTTTTGTCCTGCAAATACGCCGGCCTCAGTACTGGAGAATTGAGGTACCTGTCGCCGATCCCGAGGACGCTGACCGTGCCGTGCTTTTACGAGATGTCTTAGATAAAGTTCTCCTTTTCGAGAAGACCGAGTGTCCCTTCGAAAGAAGCTTCACCGTACACCTTCCAGACCCTCCCCAGGAACCCGTCAAGAAAAAAGCCTGGACCGCAGAAGGGAAGAAATTGATTGCCTCTCGTTTTCAGTCCGATTTGGCCCCTCCTGCCCAGGTGCCAAAAGTGATTAGTAGGGGGGAACGGGCGACGAGTGTTAGTGCCCGTGAATTCCCGTCACTGTGTACCGAGCCAAGGATAGATGATGGGGCACCCAAACCACCTGGCTTGGGGGCGGGGGCTGGATTTCTTGGGCTGTTTCCATTAAATCACACGCTACCTGAGGAGGCCAACGCTACCAGCAGCATTGATTTTGTGCCCCCTTTCCCCCCTTTGTGTGAGGCCGATAGTGACTCCATCGACCCCTTGGAACAACCCGCTGTAGGTTTACCGAATATACTGGAGAAAATAACACAGGAACCCACCGTGACTTCTGAATCCATTCCGCCGAGCGTCGATGATGAGGTGGCACAAGACCTCGGAGCCCAGACCCCAGACTCCAGTGCAGACAGGAAGATGACATTGCTCCAGGAAACTCATGCGCACTGCACTGAGCTGTGCCGTCCTACTTCTCCTGAGGCACCGCTGTCGATTGAAGCCCATCAATCCCCTGAGCCGGACTCTTTCGAGGAGAGCGAAGCCGTCGGTAATTGTAATTCACCAATACGTAGTGAGACAGTAAAGGGTGTTCATTTGGCCCAAATCCCTCAAACAACTCCGAAACTGCCCTCGGTATCTGCCGATGCCACCGCCAACCCGTCCGACACGAGGGTTCCAGAGACACCTCGGGAAATTTGCACCTCAAATCAAGAGGAAGATTCTCTTGAGGCAGACTGTGCAAGTGACAATGACAACCCGGCTCCGTTTGAAGGCTCGGGGCGTGTTGCCCCAATTAATCTCACACGGAAGCGGATGTCTCGTATGCTTGCCGGGCGCTCCTTTACTACTATCCCAAAACTGTCCATTGCGGCCTTCCCTCCCGTAAAACCAAAAAGCCAATCTCCGGCAAAGAACGTATCGTCTACACAGCTGCCTCGGGCTCTAGTCGAAGGTCATTCTCCCAGTGCATCTACCGATTCTTTTCATAGCGTGCAATCGTGGAGTTTCCCCGCCACACAGCCCCTCGCATCGGCCTCATCCTCACGTCCTGAATCTCCACAAACGGAGCACATCCCATCTCCAACGGAGCGCCTTGTGTTGCCAGAATTGCCTTCGAGCCATGCCATAGCGCCAAATAGCGCAAAACACGCCGTTCCTGGTTCGTCAATTGCCTCCGGTAGCACAGAATCTAACCCACAGTACACACAAGCCATATTCAACAACCCCCCCAAGAAAGCTGTGAGTACGGAAAATGCACTCAAGGTATCTCGATTATCCACGTTCGAACATAAAGTTCCGATTCGTCGACGATCACATGCAAGCAATCTCTCTATCAGTCGTCGAGATTTGTCGCCGTTACCACCAGCGGCGAACCTTTTCACCCCTCCCCCGGGCCAAACCTCGAGGAGCCGCTTAGCGGTAGTCAGTCGGCTTCCTGCAGTCTTTGTCAACAAGACCGTAGAGATACTCATGAGTCCACCTGGCCACCTAGTGAGCCTGATGCTCAAGGTGGCTGCCAAGATCGCTGCGGGCGAGTGGCGAGGTCTAGTCTTCGGTTTCGGTGAGGCAGGCGAGCAAATACCTGTACAATGGGACTACTACTCCGATGGGGATTTCAGCGACCTCAGTGACAGTGACGGTTATTCTATCCCAGAAGATATCTCGAGTCTTAGAGATAGCGTTCCGCACACAGATATGCGGCGGAAAACCACGTCGGCAGATGAATATGATCACGATGGCTGTGAAGTCGACTAGCCATTGGGCTCTGCCCTTTTTTTTGTACAATCTCTTCGTAGATGGGACATAACACGCATTCCGGATTGCATGGAATCTTGGAGTTAGGCTATCAGGGGTATGAAGGCAGGACTACGATTTAATTTTGTACATCTTTCCTCATGTGAGTGGTTTTTGTCATCTCCAAGATATTTTAGACTGGCTGTCAGATATAGGTATGTACACAGGAGCCAAATTTTACGCCATGATTTTATAATATGTCCCCACCAGGGAAATAGCCCTTGAGTTCTGGCCGTATAGTCGTAACTCTCATGGCTGGCAAAAGTCAGCCTCCTCTACCAAGTAAACCACTGCCGTTATCACGTTGTCATCCACGGCGGCTACTAAAATGATTTCATCCTTGGGCAAGGCAGTGCTAGAGTCAGGGTGTCTAGAAGGTCACACAATCGGAAATTCCGCGCCAAGCACCACGGCGAATCATCATGATCTTCTCTCAAATCATCTGGGAGTGGCAAAACAATGGTGTCGAGATCACGTGCGATCAAACGCTGTTTTGCATTTCTCTCGCTATCGGTTTCGTTGCATGTGACTGCTTCCCATAAGGCTTTTTACTTTACATACCTGTAGTTGCTCCACGGCGTCTTGGGGCTCAAGCCACACCACGCAAAGACAAGCAAGGGATACGATAAACGAAAGCGAGATTGTTAGTCAAGCGAGACACGGAAGGTCATTGGGGAGCCGCAACTAGGCTGACTGCCGATCTTACCCCGTGAGGGAATGAAAGTGGCCAAGACCTTCAGCTCACGGCTGTGTCTATGGTAGGACTCTGAGCTAATACCATACCATCCCGTCGGGGCAAGTAGCCGACGGATTACCAACTTAGTCAAGACAGGACAGGCGTTTGGTAGCACGTTAGAGTAGAAATATGGTGTGTAAATTTAAGGCTTAGACTGGAGTCACTTGTAAGATGATCAGTTTGCCTTGTGCGATTGGCTGCTTATCGACGGCGGTGTGGATGATCAGATCTAGGAGAGTGCCTGACGCCAATAGTCATGGAATTATATAAGAGGAAGTTCGGACCTTTTGCGAAGTCATGATTCGAATTGTTGGTGACTGTAGCCTACGCTTTCGTGTTAAAATTTGCCTTTACACCATCGGTTATATCACCAACTATATCCGTTTCAAAAGCCCGTCCAGAAAAAGGGGGACGTCTTTTCGCCCGGTACGCCATTAGTCTCCACGACAAGTCCACAGAGTTTTTCTCTCTTCGCCAACAGTTATCATGGCAGAGGGAGAGTTTGTCGCGGGTAGCATATGGTTTTACGCGCCCAACAAAGCAGCCGCCATATTCTTTGCGCTCGCCTTCTTCCTCACCGGCGCGATACATCTCTATCAGGCAATGTACGTGATTCTCGAGCAAGCGGCGATGACGACTATACTAACACTTGTTCCGAAGACACTATCGCAGCTGGAGGCTGACGGGATTATACGCATTTTCCGGAGCCTTGTTCACTGGGGGCTTCATAACCAGGGCGATCGGTGCTTTTGACTACGAGAGCGTCACCAAGTACATCGTTAGCGTCGTGCTGTGTTATGGTGCTCCGTATGTTCTTCACATGTCCAAGACACGATAAGGAAAGGCAGCTAGCTGACGGTCATAGTCCATTGTATGAGCTTGGAAACTATTATATCCTCGGCCGGATATTA